GTAATAATGGCAGTGGGTTGAGCTCGCTTTATGAAAAAGGAGACTTGTAAACGGCAAGGACTGTTAAGCCTTTGGGAGAAGATACCAGACAAAAATCAGTATGGATTAACCGCACATTGGAAAGTCTGTAACAGCAACTGCACCGGCCTGCGTTAGCGGTTTCAGTATACCACTAATGGAAATTTTCTCGCTGCCGCATAACCAGGATTACTGCGCCTGTGCTGAGATCGATTTTTAAGCACCTGGATTTCTGCTCATCCACCTTGAAGTACACCCACGTGTGGGTGTATGAAACGTATAGTTCTAAGCTTCTGATTGACTTAATAGTGAGATTTTTATAAACTGTTGTACGGGCTCCACCCAGCCTCTGACTCTAGAGCACTGGATTATTTAATGCTGTTCAAAATATGGAAAGACGGACTCTGTTTGGTGGCGGCAATCTTATTTGCTGTTTTTACTTCCAATTGACCAGTTTTTAGGCTTAAGCATTCTTTCATCTCAAATTCACGACTGACTGATGCGACCTGAACAGTAGTAATCCTACATTAGCAAATTTGCTTTGAGGAAAAAACTTTGACCAAATTTGGCGGTGTTCACTTACACTTAGATGATTCAGAAAGTATAAAGAGAGGATTCAAGCAAATTAAGCCTTTAAAAAGACAAGACTTAAAGTAATGCACAGGCATACTTACACGGTAGTGTCTGTTGTACGTTAGAAAACGAAGTTCTACTGGTAGGTCGCAGAAGCAGTTGGCCGAGGATTCGACGAAGCGCGTCCATGGCTTAAGCTCGTGCAAGTGAGAGCCGCTGGAATTTCCGCGCGACGAATTATCGATGGAAAACTTGAAGCGATCGATCAACTCGCACTTGGTTATGGCCGAGCACGTGCGTTTTCACGCCGGCCTAGAAATGGTCAAGGAGACGAAAAAGACCAGATCACGATTTGTTAATGTCCTCTTAAGAGCTTGACACATTTTCTTTTTTTGTATATATGCTTTTCGGAGACAGCCAGGGCAGGGTATGGAACTAGCCAGCTGCATCCCGCTCGATGGTAGATCGCAAATGCCGAACGTTTGTTTAGTTGACGGTAATTGACTAATCGGAGCAGATTTCATTTCTGCAAGAGTATGAAGGTCACAACGCTAGTTCCAATTACACTCACTATCATCGTGGAAGGCGTTAACAACGTAATTTTGTCCAATTACTGGAATGTGGTCGACTAATCTTTTACTGGTTTGGAGCGTTAACGGGTTGCGCAATGACGAGCTCACGCAAGCGGCGGAAAAGGCCTTCAACTGAATACTTTATTCGTTGTCACTTTAAAACAGTCATTTCTGAGTTAAACAAAGGCTTAATGCGAACCCCAATCAATGCTCCTTGCACATGTGACTAACGTACAAAACTCAAGACTTATCCACAATTGTAATGCCAAGTCTCGGGTTATTCCTATAATTTCTGTCCACATCAAACCGTCGTTCGGTACACACGTGCTTGTTCCGCAAAATCTTAGATTTATTCGTCTTCTAGAAAATCGCTGAGTCATACAATCCGCAGCCCGAGGCTGCGAAGTAATATATTTTTAAGCCTTTTGGACTCAAACTAACTGCATAGTTCCCTATGTCAGTTCAGGTTTTCAGGATTTTTGTTTCATCTTGCAGTGAACTTTGCTGGTTACTCCAGGCTCCGGCGGTGACGCGTATGTCAACTGCAATGTCAACCGCATCATATGGGACATTTGTGCGGCCGCACCTGGAATATGCGGTACAGGCTTGGCGGCCATGGCTTCGGAAGTATACAGATATCCTTGAAGGTGTACAACGGCGTGCTACAAAGGCTGTTCATGGCCTCAAAAATTTTACGTACGAGCAGCGCCTGACGGCCTTGAATCTCTATCCCCTCCACTAAGGGCAGGACAGAGGTGGCCTCATAGCAACGTTCCAGTTGGTAAGAGAACATAATCTGGATGTCGACTGGAAGCGTTTTTTTAAAATGGCACCCAAGTCCAATCGCAGACGACATGATCACCAGCTTTGAAGGAAACTGTGCCACACAAATCAACGTTCCTCCTTTTTCTCACAGGGGGTCATTCGCCAATGGAACTCTTTGCCGGAGTTTGATGTTAATTCTCCTGCTGTGAGTGTGTTCAAGAGACAACTGGATACTCACCTGTTGAAAGGCAATCCGAACTGCCGAGGCCTGATCTAACGGATTACTGAAATGACTATAAATATACTACTAACATGATTTCAACAGATTCTTTTTGTGCGTCAAACTTGACCCATATGGAAATATTCACAGTCCGAATGCGGTGAACAAAGTTTTTCGCAATACCACACCCCGTTCACATTTATGTGCCATTATTAGATTTATGAAAAGATCTACTCTGCGTGCACTAGCAGTGCTTGGTAATTTGCTTGGCAAACGTTCCGTTCACCCGGACTTAAATTCCGCTCTATTTGCTATGTGCTAAATCATATTGCAAAACCTTACATGTGTCAATTATTGACTCCATTAACACTTCAGTATTTGCATAAAAATTCAAAATTACCTACTGTGTGACCACCGAAACAACAATCCCTCCTCCTCCTCCTCTCAGCCGCCCCATTTGCCAGACTGGTAGGGTGTGTCCGCTCACTCTGGCAGCCTGGAATGCTCGTTCCCTTTTAGACAATCCGAGGAGCAACCAACCGGAACGGAGGACGGCACTAGTGGCTCGGCAACTGGCGCGCTACAAGGTGAACATCGCTGCACTCAGTGAGACCCCGTTCTCCGAACAAGGCCGAGTGGAGAAGGTGGGTGCTCGGTAAACCTCTTTCTGGAGCGGTCGCCCCAGGGCAGAGCGACGGGACGCGGGGATCGTGCTTGCCATCCGCAACGACATCGTGGGACGACTGCCCTGTCTGCAGTAGGACATCAACGATCGCCTGATGAGTCTCCGCCTACCTCTTCAGGGCTGCAACTTCACCATCATCGTCATCGTCTACGCCCTACCCCCCCCCCCAATGACCAAACCTGATGCTGCAAGGGACAAATTTTACGAGGAGCTGCACGCCCTCCTGGCGTCTGTATCGAAGCCGGAGAAGTTGATTGTCCTTGGTGATTTAAACACGCGTCTGCACAGACCATGCTGCCTGGAGAGGAATGCTGGGTTCCCCTGGTCTCCGCGGCTTCAACGACAATGGCCTGCTCCTCTTACGAACCTGCGCAAAACACCGGCTCTTCCTGACCAAAACGTTTCGTCAGCCGACGCGAGAGAGAGGCCCACCTGGATGCACCCTCGGTCGCGACACTGACACCTGCCAGACTATGTCCTCGTCTGGAGGCGAGACCCCCGGGATGTGCTGGTGACAAAGACGATCCCGGGTGCCGACAGGTGGACCGACCATTGTATCAGGATCTGAAGGACGCCACAATGGTCAATCTCTATGAGCGGAAAGGGAATCGCCAAATCTGAGACAACCACCGAGGCATTTCACTGCTGAACATCGCAAGGAAAATCTTTGATCCTACCCTTCTCAACCGCCTGAAAATCCACCCACAACAAGGTCTCCTATCGGAAAACAAGTGCGGCTTTTGCTGTTACCGCAGAACCACCGAGATGATTCTCACCGCCCACCAACTGCTGGAGAAGTGTCAGGAGATGCGTGCCCACCTGTAATTTACCTTCGTGGATCTGACGAAAATCATCGATACGGTGAGTCGCGGAGGATGTGGAAAATCATTCAGAAGTCCTGCCGTCCCGAACGATTCTCGCAGATGGTGCGTCAGCTCCACGAGGGTATGACGGCGCTCGTCAGGGATGTTATGTAGCTCCACCTTATGAAAACCATACTGTTGGGGATGGGGTTAGGGGTTAGGGCAACGTTTTCTCAACCACTCAAAGTACAACTGCGCATTCCCAATAGCTTTTCTTCTGCATACAACCACTTGACCTCGCCGCCTGTGTGTAGCCGCCCACACCTATAAAAACCCTCTACTACCAACGGTCCCGTATTACAGGATGCAGGGGTTTGTTTACTTCAGGTGGGGCTACATAACCACATCTGACTAATATTTGTTCACTTCCAGAGTAATTTGGGACCCAACTTCTGTCACTTTTGCTTCCTGGATCTAGACTACTTAAGTGAAAGGAAAATTGTACGTTTCTACACGATATCTCGCGGACACGTTGAAGAGCTCATAAGAATTCCTGATTAGGAAGAAAGTGCTAAATGTCATTCCACAGAATCTTTACAATAATAGCCCTAAAGGACTACGGCACATTGAGAGTTAGAGCTACAGGCTGGGACGATCGCACCGGCCGTCGTCTAAAATTGGCTTGTAACAGGCTGTTACACAGCACAGTTTCTTGAAAAGAGAGAACAAATGGGAACTGACCACCGGCCAGACACAAATCGAAATATACTACCCATAATCAATCGGCATCAAATCTACAAGGGCCCATCTGCTATTAGGTAAAATTACGTTCCCTAAACGCCCACGACGAACTCGTAATTGCAGAAGAATAAATTATTTGGTTACGCGAAATAATTGGTAGATTTGTAAAGTCATTGTAATTATCGAACTGTAGATCAGAGGCGAGGACTAAAAAAGGCACACCATGTAGGAATTTGAAAAAAAAGTTAAATCTGCCTTGCAAATCATATCTCCTACCTATTCCTGACGCAGTCGATCCTAAATAATCGATTCGTGGAGACAGCATGTAGATGTAAAAAGCTCTAAAACTAGATGCTACTCGCATTTCATAACCGATAACGGGACGGAGAGCGCGCGCGTTAATGTCGAATGGCGTGTAGACTTGCTGCAATTTTCATAATTGCCATTTTTGCACCCTATGTATACTTGCCGTCCTCTGGAGTCTTAAGCGTCATGTAACCAAAACCAGGCCAGTATATGAATTTACGAGGGAGGAGAATACGGTGAGATGATGCGAGTTCCTCTTTTCCATCAATGCGTCCAAGGATCATCACGAGTTCAAACACTTGACGCCGTTGCACAGTATGCAGTTCTTCCTGTCCCTGAACAAGGCCTCCGGCAAACTCTGCGAGGCATTCAAGCGAGACCTCTTCCGCTCCGAAGTACCTGTAACAGCAGAAGAGAGGGATTTTTCTCTCGGTTTTATCCTCACTGTGTACAAGAGCATCAATCAGGTGGCGCGTCTGCTACGTCTCAAATATCGGCCACAAGACATCTACGTCACTCACGTGGATAGCGATCGGTTGTCAACTGTCTGAATGTATGTTTGCCTAGAATAAGCAGCATACCGACTACGACGGCCGCTCGTCAGCTATATATGCTGAGGTCAGGACTGACAGCGATCTACAGCGGTCCACAGCGATCCCTTCTCAACTGTTTGAGGCTGCGATAGTGTAGATGGAGCAGCACACCGACTGCAGGTCAGATGAAATAACAATTGTATCTGGTTTGTACCTACTCAAATAGCTACAGTAAGTATTCTTTCTAGGCAACAGATATTTGGGGGCCTCGGGACGACGCCCACACCCACCTCATCCATATCCATTTCCTTGTCCGACTCCTCGAGGATGGAAGCGGAAACATCGGACATACAAACAGCTGCAGGTATCCTTTCTCATCCCTTCCCACTCGTCTCATTTCCATCTGGAATTCAAAATATCACAGTGGGTGTCTGAGAAGTTTCTAATTCCTTCTCGAGTTATCAGGCTGACGGCACCAAAGTCGACGTAAATGATGAGAAAAGCGAAATAATGTCCCAAGGGGCTGCCAATTCTACGTTTAGCTAGGCGAAGCATTCCATCGAATAGAATTGTAAGATACCTAACTGTGATAGTTTGGCCATGACCTATGAAGGACACTAGGCCATACCTACTCAAAAAGTGCGAGATGTGTCCCGATTTGGTCTTGATTGGATGACAGGCATGAAAATGTGTGCATTGGTACATGACAAAGACATGATCGAATCACTGTGTGATCACCTGAGCCTCCGGTATTGCTCTGACTTACTATATGCACGAATGATTTCATGGCCTCTGTTGATACTGTGCAGCCTAATTGGAACTAGGGTTACACCTACACCATTGAGAGGTGCTTTTCAATATTATAATCATTCGGCGAATCATCTGCTGGTAAGAGCATCGGCTGCCTAGATTGGAGCCTGGTTGTTCATTTGGTTAGGTCGTGCTGATGACTTGGAAATGCTTTAGCGGATGTGAATCCCACAGAGATGCCGATTGTTTCACCAATGGTAATCACTGGGCGGGGATGAGGTGGGGTGTTGGGGTGGGGGGGATAGATCACACATGCTGGACGGTGTTTTGCAATTAGAGATTGACATTGATGCTGCTCCGATTTCAGTTTGCACACACCTCCATTCCACACCCACCCCGATTTATCAGCCTGTCGGCAACAAAGCTGACGTAAATGATGGGAAAAGCGAAATAATGTCCCAAGGGGCTGCCAATTCTACTTTTAGCTAGGCGAAGCATTCCGTCGAACGGGACAATAAAGTACCCTCCGACGATTGTTTAGGAAATAGCTATGAAGGACACTAGGCCATGTCTGCTCAAATAATCTGAGATTTGTCCCGATTTGGTCTGGATTGGATGACAGACATGAAAAAGTACGATTTGTAAATGAAAAAGACATGATCGAATCATCGTGTGATTACCTTAGCTTTCGTTATGGTTTTGACTTAGTATATGGCGCGGATGAGGCTATGGCCTCTGTTGATTCTGTGTAGCCTAAGTGAGACTCGGGCCATATTTACTCCATTTTTAGATGCTTTTAAATATTATAAACATTCAGTTAACCAACTGGTAAAAACGTCAGCTGCCTCGTTTGGAAGCTGGTTGCTCATTTGGATAGGTCGTCAGTTGTGCTGATGCCTTGTTTATGCATTAGCGGATGTGAATCTCACAGAGGCGTCGATTCTTTCACCAATGGTGATCACTGGGCAGGGGTGGGGTGTTGGGGGTGGGGGATAGATTACACATGCTGGACAGTGAGTTGCAATTAGAGATTGACATTGAGGCTGCTCCAATTTCAGTTGACACACGCCTCCGTTCTACACCCACCCCGACGTCTTCTGTGTCTATTTCCATCGGCGAGGCCTCGACGATGGATGCAGAAACCTCCGAAATTCACACAGCTGCGGAACAAAGTGTTGTCAAGCTGCATCCCAGCCCAGGAGAAAGCACCTCTCGAGATTCCTGGCTGTCAACTTCAAGAAGAAGAAGAAGATAAAGACGGTTTTAAATACCTCGAGGCGAGGCTTCCATCGAATGAGCAGAGTAAGTAGGCCGTTGTTTTCCGAAATGATTCTGCCGACCGGGTTGCCTCAGGCCTTAGAAGATGCATATGGATTGGATGCTGCATCTCTATCGCCACTGAGGCTCGCGTGTACCACGCATCTATCAAGCCTGACCTTCATCTTCTTGCTTAAAAGAATGTGAATACCACAGAAGCGACAGTGTTTTTCAGAAAATGATGATCCCTAGTGGGTGAAGGATATATCACCCATGCAAATGGAGTCTGACATCGAGGCTGCTCCAATGTCGTTTCCTACAGGTCTCCATACGACACCTAACCCAACGCCTACCATGTCTATTTCCCTGTGTGAGGCCTCTAACACCGAAGCAGGAGCATGCGAAGGGGGCGGTATTCCCGGTGAAATCTACAAGTCCTTTGTTGACACTCTGGCGCCCTGTCTATATGATGTGATTGAACAGGAGTAAAGAAATGAAGTTGCTCCTTATGACTGGGACTCAGTCACGCTTATGCCTATCCTCAAGAAGGGAACGAAGACAGGATGCGAGAACTAACGCGGCATATGCCTCACGGATGTTGCTGCGAAGGTCCTCGTTATTGTCCCTCTCAAACGATTACAGACTCTGCGTGACCCCAGCAGAATGTCCAAGCAAGCCGAATTTCGTACTGGACGTGGATGTACGGACCAGATATTTTCACTGAGGCGCATTCCCCAATTCCGCCATAACTACTAGCAGCCGAGGGTTGTGTGAGTTGCTGACTTTGTCGCCGCGTTCGAGTTCGTCCATCATGCGTCCCTGTGGTGGATAATGGTAGTAAGCAGTGAACCGCCAAATATCATCGGCATGATCAAAGCCTTTTGTCACTGCGCCTATTTTGGTTCGAAGCCGTATTTTCCTGCCTCTCGGTATCCGGTATGGCGTTCGACAGGGTTGTATCCTGTGGCAAATGAAGTCAAACTACGGCACTGACTGGATTTTCGTGAGAGCCCTCAACGAGGGCGAGGATGTTTAGCTGACACCCGGACATTGACTGACTGACCTCGAATATGCCGAGGATATTGCCTTACTGGAAGCAAATGTTGGTGATCTGAAGTCTATGGTGTCATGGGTGAAGGAGTTTGCAAAATCGGACGGTTAATCTATAAATTCTGGGCAGACAAGAACTGTTTTCAGGCTGCATCCCAGTGCCAGAGAAGGCAACTCTCGAGATTTCTGACTGTCAATATGAAGAAAACAAAGAAGACGGTCATAAATGCCTCAAGACGAGGTTTCCACCGAATGGGCAGAGTGAGTACTGCATTGATTTGCGAATTGATTCTGCTGACCGGGTTTTCTTAATCCTTAAACAACGCATATGGATTGGATGTTACATCTCCATCGCCATTGGGATTCGCGTGTACCACTGATATATCCAGCATGTGCATATCACAGGAGCTATAGTTTTTTTCAGAAATTGATGATCTCTAGGGGGTGAAGGATAGATCACACATGCTGGCCCGTGTTTTACTTATCGAGTCTGACATCGAGGCTGCTCCAATTTCGTTTCTCACAGGTCTCCAAACGACACCCAACCCAACGTCTACCATGTCTATTTCCCTGGGTGAGGCCTCTAACACCGAAGCAGGAGCATCAGCTATTCATACAACTGCAGGTATTCTTTCTCATTCTTTCCAATCTGATCCATTTAAGTCGGGAACTGAAGAGATCCAAGTGGGTGTTTTGAGAAGATTTTAATTAGCATGTGGTTTACGAGTCCGAATGTGCAGTAGATATATTATGTCTTGAATTACTCGGGTGTGTATGGTATGCGTATTCGCAGGCAACACTCCAGAGCATGGACACGTACCCGGTAGGCAGTCTGTTTTTTGTTGTAGAAAGTCAGCTGTCGATAAGTTTTGGCGTATGGACTTGGAGGTACTATTTTTAAAATATGAATGCCGAAGCTGCTTGTAAGCACGTGCCTAATATTACATGCAGGCCAAGTGCAGTTGTCACATCTCTAGTCAACTGTAATTAGGCATCACATTCTTTGCAAATGGTTGCGAGATTGGACGCGATTGCATGCTGGATATACACAGGTCTATTTGACGTCGCTTTAAAAAAAATACTGATATTTTTCTACCATACACGTGCATGTGCACGTAAGAACCTACTCTTATCTTTAAATAGCGTCCATTTCCGCTATTTTTGCTCACTTTTAGGATGGCGAGTGATCAAAAAAAGCCGCATGCGGATGGGTTTCAGAGCGCTGAAGAGTGATTAGCTGAGAGAGGAATATATAAGTTTGTGTTCGAAAGAACACTTGCGCGAGTATCTGTTTCCGCCACTGATTTGAAGTTCCGCGAGACTTTGCTTGGTCGGTTTTGTCAATCGCTGAGAGACCTGGAAGACGCAATTAAGGAGTTTGGCATAGTAAGAAAGTTCAGTTTATTAAGTAAAATAGGCGTAAGCCTTTGAGTACCCTATTTACAACTTTAAAAATGTGTGGCATACAGATAAATGTTCTGGGCTGAAATAGTTTAAACACGCCCATAATGGTGGTACAAAATGTGAATGAGTTACTGGGGGTGCGCTCTACTCATCGCCCTTGGTCATTTCGGAACATAAATGCGTCAAGATTCTTTTTAAAGCTTTGTATAGATGGTCTGCGGGAGGGCATTCCATGGTTTGACCACTCGAACAGAGAAGGAGAACTTCCGCACATCCAGCCTTGCCTGCTGAGTGCGCAGTCTTAGCGGGTGACCTCGCAGGTTGGTCGTGGTAGCAAATTCAAAAATGCCCTCAAAGGCCAGACTGCAATCCAACGCCTTTACAATGCTGAAGGCTTGCAACAGATCCCCGCGAAGTTGCCTGTAACTCAAAGGAAAGAGGTTCAGATTTACTAGGCGGGTTGCTTAGGAAAAGGAGCTTTGACCCCTAACCATCTTCGTGGCTCTCCTCCGAACTCTTTCAAGGCAGTTTTGATACTAAAACCTCCTACGGCCTCCAGGCTTGCATGCCGTACTCTAAATGCGGCCGGACGAATGCTCCGAATGTCTTAGGGAAAGCATCTTCGTCAAAGTCCATAAACGCACGCTTCATGGCGTACGGTTCGGTCATTGCGCTTTTTGCCACCCTCGAACAATGGGCGGACGGCTTTAGGGAACTGGTCATCAGCACACCGAGGTCCTTTTGGGATTTGACCTCTTGTACGGCTGCACCGCTCAGAAAGTAGTCTCTTGTACTGGCGGATCTGGCTGTGTTGCCTAGGCGAAGTATGCTACATTTGACAAAGTTGAACCGCAGGAGCCAACGGTTTGACCACTCCTCCAACCAATTCAGGTTCATCTACAGTCTCTCTTCGTCTGCAGGACCCCGAAGTGCACTCCATATCTTCATATTATCGGCAAGCATTGCTACTTCGCAGTCTTAAGCTCTTGCGGCATCGTTCACGTGGATAAGGAACAAAATGGGTCCCAACACTGAAACCTGGGGCACACAACTCTCGACCATTGCGGGATCTGATTTTCCCCGACCGATGCACACAACCTGGTGTCGACCAACAAGGACGTTTTCGATCCATTTAAGGAAGTTGATACCGATCCCTGTTTTCTTAAGTTTATGTAAGAGCCTTTGATGTGGCACAGAGTCGAACGCCTTCTGGAGGTCAATGAAGGCCATTTGGACCGCGCGCCTGTCGTCTAGAGCTCGGGTCCAGCTCTGGAGAGATTGCAGCAAGTTAGTTCCGCAGGATCTTTCTTTTCGGAACCCATGTTGGCATTTCGATAGCAGGCCGTGAAATTCCAGGAATTGCATCAGTTCAGTCTTTATGATCCTTTCCATAACTTTGCAGAGAATGCATGTCAATCTTATGGGCCTGTAATTTGTCGTCGCTTCCCTGTTACCTCGTTTGGGTAGCGGAGTAATATGCGCCGGCTTCCAATCGATAGGAAGTGTTCCAGTGTCAAATGACGTTTGAATGAGCATCGACAAAGGCATTGGCAAGTTTCTTGAGAAGCTTAGATGGAATCTCGTCTGGTCCTGGCGACTTCGATTCGTTCAATGCCTCTAATTCTCTTCGGACAATGCCTTCTGAGAAGAGCATATGAATGACGCTTCGGGTCGGCAGTTCTTCTGTGGAGGGAGGAAGGAACCTTGCCTCGTTTGTGTAGACTGATTGGAAAAACCGTGAAAAATACGCAGCTTTATCCCTACTATCAGCGATCTCAACGCCATCAGTAGTCTTTATCAAGGGGATTTGATGCCTGTTCCTTGTAGTTTGTCGGAGTTAGCTGTAGAGCAATTTTTGGTTCTTCGTTGCTTTTTGTAGCAAGTTCTTCTCGAATTCCCGCCGCGTCTTCATGATCAGGTTCCTCAGTTTGTTCCTCTGTGTCTTGTAGGTGTTGAAATATTCAACTTGTCCAGTGACTCCACAATTTGTGCTTACTGTTAATTTCTTTCTTAAGGTTGCTATTAAGCCACCCAGGGCGTTTGTTCAGTCTTACACTAGTCAGTGGGCAGTGGTTGTTGATGAGCTGCATAAGGACATTCTTGAACATCTCCCAGTCATCGTTGGCATTTCCCGTAAACAATGAGCCCCAGTCGAGACCGGATAAATCTGTCCTCATCTGATTGAAGTCGCCCGCCAAACATTCCGTCTTTTTTGGTTTGGATTGTGTGAAATGGAAAATAACGAATAATCCCACATAAGCACTACGTGATTAATTCGGCCAAAGGGCGGCATGGAGGTGATCTCGTCTATGCTGTCTGGTGTTTTCGTAAAAACCAGATCCAGGTTGTTTGCTCGTTGTCCTTCACGTGTTCTCGTTGGGAACATTACATGTTGTGTGAGGCACGCATTTAATGTTTCGCTCAACAGGCGGTAATCGAATGCCGATTTTGGACCTGACGCCTGGAGGGTATTCCAGTTTGTTCCTGGTGCGTTGAAGTCGCCCCTGATCATGATGTTATTTAGACTGGAAAATTTCTCCAACTGCTCCAATTGTTGGGTGCCTGCGATTTGGTCTGTCCTAGGTGGTCGGTAGACAGTGAGGACATCGAGACATGGGGAACTGGTAGCCTTGATGGTCAACCAAATAGCTTCCGTGCCGCACGCAAACTTGGTGGTCTTGTCCGACACTGCCAGGCCCTCATTCACATACACAACTATACCACCACCCTGACGATGTTTCCTGTCCCTCCGATAAATTTGGTATCCAGGCAAGGCTACTTCGTTATCACTAATATTCCCGGACAGCAAGGTCTCGGTTACTGCTACAACATCTGGAGACAGCTCGACAGGGCGAACTATAAGCTCGTCTAGTTTCGATACTGTTCGTTTTCATTTAGCCTCATGCATGCTACTGAGCGGAAGAAAATAGAATCCGTTCAACACTTTTTTACCAAGAGAATTTTAACCCCGGAACACCGACATTTGTCTTACCAAGAACGTTGCCGGCTTACAGGCCTCGATCATTTATTGTTCC